GATAGTTAAAACAACTTATTAGTACCAGAAAATTTTTTGAAAACTTGTTTTCAAGTAGCCAAAATTTTTTTTATCACGATACTGACACTAATTGTAAACAGTGCCAGCCATCATCAGGGGAAGCGGTTTTCCTGTATTTCTACAATCAGATCGTCCCAGCGTGGCCTCTGACTGTTAATTCGACGATGATGGTCCAACAAAATCTAGTCCACCATTTCATACGTCTATCGGTTGTTTCTCAAGCCAGCCACATGACCGGTTCATCTTCTATCGTAATGGTAGAAGACGGACATCATCTCTGTTAATCCAATCCGTTGTGGAATTTAGGCTCTCCGAATGTGACGCCTTGTACATTTTTCGTTCCATCGCTCATAGCATGACCATCAGTTTCACAACTAACACGGGCATTTCACTATCGAGTAGCGATATTTTAATAATAGGTTAAAACTGGCTCATGTCGCCTTCATTCTTCTGGTCAATTACTCGTCTAATGAGTTCTTGTGGTCGACTTAGCGTCCAACGAATACATGACTGTTCGAGTTCTTAACTATTCGCATAAACAGACCTAGGGTCCATAATTATTTCGCATTTATTTACTTTCTGACAGGTAAGCCTGCATCCGACGGTGAAAGATTCTCTTGTAAATGCTCAATCTTCTACTGAAGCCCCATCGTCATGTCTTGTGTAAAGACAAAGACTTGTATGCAGTCGTCCGCAAATACCAACTGCGTCGATTGCTACCATAATTAAGGATATCTAACGAATTAATTAGCCCATAAGCACAAAACTCCAAAGTTTGACTTTTTTGCAGACTGTACCGTTCTCTTGCTTCCAGTTACCTACAGTGATCATTAAACAGCTTCTGCTCCATGGGAGCTGAATATCTGCGAATATCTCATCTCACCGCCTGGAAATAAAAAACTATCGGGTAGTGCAGTACATCTTAAAGGACTTATGCACTCATTAGAATGCATCAGCGCAAGAAACTATATTCATAAAAGAAAAAGTACAACCATGTGATGTGTATGTATAGCAACTATAGATTTGATACAAGAATGATCCATGCAAAAATTTATATCTTACAGTCTATTAAACAGTACTTCTGCTGCCTTACGAAGTACATTGTTGTTATCGTTGAGATCACTGTTTTTCTTGCCGTTTGCATAAGCAGAGCGCCTTTCGTTAGTGTTTCAACATAGCTTTTCAACACTTCTGTTATAAGGCACTGCTTACTACTTCGTAGAAGGAAATATTTCTCTCCAAAACCAGATTCGTCTCTACCTTCTTCCAACTTGCTGCATGGTGACGAACTGGTCGATTTCTGTTCTGTCTCGGTTTCCACAAGAAAAGCTTATGGGATGGAGTAAATAGTTTAAGCTCAACCACTGAGTCAAAGAGGGATAATCACCCTATCTTAATTCTGACATGTACCGAAGTCAGCTGCGCTGGAAGAGAACTGAGTCATTTCTTAAGTCATTCTGTCATTATGCGTTGAGACCAACACTACTGCACGTTGTTCACCGTCGTTACTGTTTCCATGCCACAGAAAAACATTGGCTTGACAGAGGCAAGATATAGGTGGACTTTTTTGGAAGACTTACTCATTTCTCAGCCTAAAATTGGACAGGCTTTCAAATTACGAATTAAAAACAAGAAACTGTAAGAATAAATACTGATGCACCTCGAATATGTTCTATGTACGAAACCACACCCTAGTACTACAAGTATGAAAATATACAGAAGAAAGACAAAAAATAGTTAAGCAAGAAACAAAGTTAAAAATGCAACCGAAATGAGACATGGAAGTGAACTGAAAAAAACTCGTGGACAAAAAATGCCGAATAGAAACAAACCGTGCTCAAAACACCAATGGGTCCCCCAGAGAAGATATGATTTATAACAGTTAATCTACAGACCCTGATACCACGAATGCAATTTCCTTCAACAGCAGGTTAATAAAAATTATACATGCTGGATAAATGCCAAAACAGCATCAATGCATCATTATATTCGCCGCGACTAATAATCCGAAAAATTTTTGTTTTAGGATGTTCATTAAGACCTGCTTTACCCTTATGTACACAACAATTACATACTGCGATACAGTTCTCAAGCATGATTGAAAAACGATACGGTAAAATATCGAATTCTAAAATTTTTGAATAAAGCTGAAAAACGACTTATACTGGAAAAGGAAATAATCGATCCTAACAGAATAACGAATATAAAGAGTAGCTGACAATGGTTGTGAAGCATGTCTTCATGGAGCCTTCCTACAGCCACAAACAAAGATAAATGACAACGGCACAAAACGTTTGGTAATTCTGTAGGCTTACTGCAGACATATGACAAAAAAGTAATTTAATAAGCAGTCATTACAATCACCTGACAATTTAACATTGGTGAATTTTCGATCAAATTACTTCCAGCATTTTCGAAAGTCAAAATCTTTCAGGTTTTAAGAACTCTGATGAAGCTACCAGTTTTTTTGAAACTTAAAAATTGACAGAATAAATAAACAATAAAATTAAAATTGCATCGGTTGCAACCATTCCCCGCAAAATAGATCGTTTTGAGATCTGATCAGGATACTAGGAAAGTAAACATAAACTTTCCTATTTTAAATTTACGGGTTAGATCTCGTACTGATCCAGTCAATCATGATGTGAGTCAAAGTGACGTTCTATCCGTTTCTCGATTGGTTACGTTTAATAATCTCTCTGGGTCGCATCGTATCCCCTTTTGTTACCGTTAATTACAAAAACATGACAGCCCGATAAGGGGCAATTCGAATAGCACGTAGCTCGAATAAACTAAGTACTTCTAAATAACAACTACAAAAAGAGGGGTTGCACCTATTTCTGATCGTTACATTGAATAACAGCTATCAGATGGGTCAAAGCAAAATGTAACCCTATCAAACACTCGCATCAGATGTAATGGCAACAGGTCTCCCTCAATAAGTCCATTCTTTCATGACCACAACAGAAAGCCATACCGCCCTGCTGTTCGTCACTCAAGGATTTACGTCCGTTTCTTGGCTGGTTAATCCGGAGTAAAGTAGGGTGAATTTCTTGTGCAAAAGAACCTGCAATTAAGACAAACTGTTTTTCAGGATTCGAACTGGCAGCCTCAAACAGCTCGACTCGAAGCTGATCTGTCACTAAACCACGAAAATTTTGGAAAATTCCACGAATTCGCATGTAATCTATAGAAGGGAAGATGCCTTTCTAAAGGATGGCTGCAATCATCTGAAAAGCCTTCTGAAGTTGCTGGACCTGCAGCCTGTTGTTGCTGTCATCGTCATCATGCGAGCTATCGAAGTAAAAGACCAATTACTCAAATTAATGATATCTGACACACTGACTTCTGCACCCTAACCCGGAAAACCAGCGACTCCTGAAACTGAGAAAATGAAAATACTATATTTCGGGGAGGATGGGGGGGTCAGAACAACTTTTAATACATTATTTGCCATGATCGCCTGAAAATACTGTCATTAACGTCATGAGTGCGGCTCAAAATTTTCTTTCTCCATGTTCAGAAGGGAATCAAGCAAATGCGGAAAAGAAACCAAATCTAAAATCCAAGTATTTTCGTTGCAAAAGTAAAGTCATATAACCAAAAACAAAAAAGTAAAAGGGAGAAGGCAAAAATGCAAAACCCACGTCCAAAAGTACCCAGTGGCGAGAGCAACGGGAGTGAACAGAAATAGTCAACACCCGCTGCCAACCATATATGCTGCAAACGCACTGAATGTCAGAAAAGCATACACTCGATACCAATCGATATTAGTCAGCACGAACTAGTGTGATCATCAGCTATAGATAGCAACGGAAAAGAAAGGCGTGTCACGAAATAAACATACATCTACCATGTTGTTCATCTAATTAATTACTAGCTGTAAATGTAAATTATATATATGACGTACCACAGCACAAAAAACTCATTTGTACGTGTA